CGACTTCATGGCGGGTATATAATGTGTATTAGACTTGTTCAAGTCGATCCGAATCAATTAGGATAACATTATAGTCAAGGGGCATTAGCCACGCCTACCGAAAATTAACTTTTAGACTGCATAAAATATACATTTGTTCATATGCACTAAATGCATGCACCAGTCTACATATTCACAAAAAAAGTAAAATAAATAATTGGTCCAATTAAAATTAAGGTTAATATATGGATACATTACATTTCTAGTTGGAATAACTACATAAAAGGTTTGGCCAACATTTTTTTTTAGTTTAAGCGACTATACATTTAGTTGAGTCAACTATTAATTTAGTTATTCCACCTAGAAATGTATTGTGTCCCTGTATTAATATTTATAGTTAGATCACCGATGTATTTTTATTTCCCCCCCTTTGTTTTGTGAAGAAGAGAGAGATAGCTGCAAGTTCATAATATGTTAAACAGCCTTTCTAGTCAGATTAAATTCAATCAACCCGAGGAAAATCGAACCTCGCTCTGGATAGACTCTGGTAATGAAAGATTGTCGTATAAATATTATTTTCTCTTTGGGAAACCTACGGATGTGTTTGTCCGTTTGTTTTCTCATTCGTCGCTGCCGGTTAGGTTATTTATATTAATAGGTTCGGCCGACAACATTATCATAACAACCAGACCGCGGTATAGCAATGGCTTTAAAAAGATTACACTACCGATTTAAGCCAATTTGTTTATAATAATAATAAGTATTTTTGAAGCTGTGAACAATAATTATTATCATCGTAGAGAGATTCGAACAATTTCTTAAACTTACGTGAATATATACGGCCTTGTCTATTAACTTGATTTTTTTTTTTTACATATTATTATTGAATTAATCCAATGTTGCCGATAACCGATGATGACCCGTCTATTATATGTACGAAGACGGTTAGAGATGAAACGGCAGTGATTAAAAAAACCGTCCAACGCCCATTTAATTAGAGCGCGGAGAACGAAATAACAACAACAATAAAATACAATAATTATTATACCATCACCTAAGCCACTAAGTTACATAACAAAATAATAAATTAACATTATTTTTGTTTTAGTTGTATCACTGTAAGGTTATCGCCTATCTCGAATTCTAAAAATAAATATAACAATAGTTAAGTAAAGATGTATTTACTATTTTTCAACGCAACATTAATATATATATTTTCTATAAATTTTTTTAAAGTTGTTTATTATTTTATTTTGATATTATATAATGGGTAAATATTAGTAACAGTTCTTTTATGGATAAACTATTAATCACTATATTTTGTTATATTTTGTGAATGAAACGACTACCGTGTAACATTGTAATTTTTTTCATATTTATTATTACTATTTTAATTAATGTACTATTAAATTCCCAGAATGTAGTATTGGACAGATTAATCATTTACGATGTGTTTGTCATGATTTTGTTTATTGGGCGTAATGTATGTTAATCGAATGGCATTGATTGAGTTTGTGGACATAATATACATTTACAAATGATCGATTCTCGGTAAGAACACATCATAAGAAACTTAAGGATTTCTCAGTATAACGTTATTAACGGTATGAATTATGCAAACGAATATATCGGTTGAGCATCCAAACAACCTTATTTCCATATTTTAAAATTACAGATAGTAAAATATCATATGGCCACTATTATAATATTGAGAATGTAGGTAAAATATTTATAAATGTTTCGTTGGGACTAGAAAGACAAAATTATAAGCTTAATATATATTTTTTAAAAATAATCAAATTTGCTAATAAAAACCGTAATAGTCCAATAAAAACATGTGTAGATTTAGAAATAGTAATCATTTCTAAATCTTAAATCTACTTGGCTATGATTGGCCTAAAGACGCCAAATAGTGAGATATATCTACTACTGGTCGAAAGGCGGTTTAACATTATAAAACAACAATCATTTTCTTCGGTTGTACACAAAACGGTTTGTATTAGCTGTTGATGGATATCCATCTTGGCCGTTTCAGGCGCGTCTCGACAAAAAAATTCTTCACGATGGCGCCTTATATCTTTTGTGTAGTTGCATATGCAGCCGTACACGTGCACCAGGATTTTTACCATTCGCCGACGACTGCGGTGGATAATATGACTGACAGGCGGAGGCCCGGTCGACTTAGCGGCCGTCCCACATATATACAATTTAATACAGTATAAAAAAAAATATATAAATATATAAAACAAGTACAACCCGCACGGGCTTACCCTCGTCGTCGAATCGCCCCCAAACGTCACCGGTACATATGTGCGGATCCTCCCCCCCCCCAAAAAAAAATGTAGCCTTTTTGTTCTTTTTTTCCCTATAAATATACTATTAACGGCGTTAACAATATAATAAAAATACAACAAACATATCATATAGCTTATAGCGTGCGTATATCGACTTTGGGGCGAAGCAGATGCGACTTTGAAAGGGGGGAGGGGGTGGTTCTGTCTAGCCGTTGAAAAATTGTCTAAGCGCACCTGCTGCCCCCCCTCCCCCCTACGACCGAATTTGCGGTTTTTCGGATTTAACCGAGTGCGAAAAAATACATTTGCACCCTTTTCGGCGACCCCAAAGGCCAAAAAGCACAAATAACAATAACAGCACTACTAATTTAAACAACACTGGGGATTTTATGAATTTTTCTTTTTACATAATAATAAGTCGTATTGAATGTTAAGCTCGAACAGCTACTACATAGAAATATATTACAACGAACCGGAATTGACAGTGTTAGTGTGTTGAAAATAGGTGCTATTAACCTTATAGGTATAGTGGTTGTCTAAGACCGCTTCAGTATGGACATTATGAAAAAAAAAATACCGGTTATTACTATTTATTATTCATTATGATTTTCGCACGTTTTTCGACTGTCGATTAATTATTACACTATAGTTATATCGACTATTTGAGTATAATATATTATAGGTACACAAGTTTTTAATAATACATAAAAACATGTTCCTATCAACATATAAGAGCATTCGTTTTATCTCAACTGTTCTAGTCAGGGAATAACAATTAATTTTGCATTTATTATTATTATATATGTAAACGACCCGGATGATTGCCATGTTGACAAAGTGTTCCGGGGGATTGTCGCTGCGGGAGGGTTTTTTCTTCGAAGGGTGGAAAAGAAAAAAAAACAAAAAATGGAGACAGAGTTTTTTGATGTTTGACACGAGCTCAGACGATATACTTGTACATTATTTTATTATACGATGATCCTAAGGGATCGTCCGCTCCTTGTGTACGATATGGAAACAAGAACCGTTTTAAAGAGTTATTACTTGGGACAGTTCGTTAAAGTCAATTGCCTCACTGCGAAAACGAGAGAGCAAGTAAAAAAAAAAAAATATTAACGCAGGGTTGGCCGGTTCACTCTCCCTTGCTGGAAACAACCGGCTTTGTATTATGTGCTTGACCGCCGTTTTAATAATAAGCCAAACCGATGGGGAGGTGCGGTGGTGTGATTGTATGTCGTTTTAACGTTATTTAAATGTGTTAACACTTGGGTTGGTCTATATAATTAATTGAACGGCTTCGACAATCGTTTTAATATTTTATGTCCAACTATGTAGGATATATATTAGTCGTTTTGCAATAGTTGTATCTTATTCAAACACCAGACCAAGCAGAGATAATATTGACGGGATAATCTTTCTTTAGATTCACATAATTTGGATTTACAAAATCATATTATTTTCACTAGTCTTGTCCATACTCGGTTACATTAACGACGGCAAAATGTTTTTAATAATTTGGCTATAAACGATTAATAATTTAAATCCTAGTTCATATCCGTATCGTGTCTTTAGTACTGATTTTCTTACTTCACCTTAACAAAATTCATAAATTATAGTTGCTATTAAATTTGTTAAAATTACCTATCTTGTAATAGGATTTCTTATAAGTTCCAAGTTAAAAAATACATACATTATTTATTATGTATAAAATATTATATTTTATCGAGAGTTGAAAAAATGATTAACATTCTTAACAATATGTTATTCCTAACGTCTAAGACTCGTTGTGTGCTCAAACAAAACAAAAAATTTTAAAAATACGACTTGACACCAATAACTAGTTTATTATTAATTATATTTCAAAAGTCGTTTGGCTAAAAGTAGTTAGTTTGTTCGACAAGCTGATTTGCAAATATTACTGGTTATATCGCATTTTAATGACATCATAATTACTGGTATTTTATTTTTTTTATAACTAAATACGGGTAATAGTTTGGTTTTTTTATATAACAGAGCTGGGAAAAAATCTTGCCTAAATCTGTGTATCACTACTATTTCTACTCTATCAAACTATAACACTACTATAGATAGTTATTTCAACAATAAAAATATTATTATTTGTTATTTTACATTTTTTTTTTTTACTTCTAACAATTTTATTCTGTCCTAGACGATTATTTTTATTATAGAAATAACAAGAATATCACTTTATTAAATAATAGACAGAATGATAAAAATTGTTATTTAGTTGTAACTTGTAAGACGTTTCAAGTATATAAAATTATTTCAAATATAAAGGCAACTTTAGAGTTGTCAATGATACAATTGAAAAAAAAAATAGATTCAGTCAGTTTAGCCGTTGGTTTACATTTTTCATGGAAAACACCAAAATTAAAAACAATTATTTTCTTAATATCGTTCTTATATCGACGGTAGAGATGAGATCATTTGATCGTTAAGATAATTATTGTAATTTAGGTAATTAGAAAAAACCATTTATCTTTTTTTATTTGACAATATCTGTCATTGGTTTTGTGTCACTTTCGACTTAATATGCATGCAAACATGAAGAAATACTAATTAATGAAATTATTTGATGTTTGGCGCTAGTACAAGTAAAATGGTTGTACCAAATGAAAGCTATTACCTACGTTTCCACGGACTTAATCTAAAGTTATGAATTTGGAAAAATTTAACTAGTTAAACCATAAAATAGACGGTACTCACTTTGTCCGAGATGTACTCGTTTCATCCACGGATAGATCTGCGGCGGGTTCTGGCCAGATCCTTGTTTGCCGGACGCCGGACCGTTGCCGCCAGGGCCGTTGGACGACGTGGACGATATTGACGAGGCGGGCGACGAGGACGTTTGGGACACGGGTCCCTGGGCGCCGGGCGACGATCCGGCCGCGGACGCCCTAGCTTTCATGGACACTGGCGGCGGCGACCTGGCACCCGGCGGCGCGGACGTGGTCAAGTCTTGTGGCGAGCTGATGCCGTTGGGCGTCGCGGTGGCCGTCACCTCGTACTTGCATTGGACGCCGGTCGCGGAAGGCATGCCGCCGTTGTTGTTCAACGACGACGATATGGGCGATATGGCACCCGGCGACGGCAGGCCTCCGGCACCTCCGCCGTGCTGCAGGTGCTGCAGGTGAGCGCCAGCCGCTGCGGCCGCGGCCGCCTGTAGCCTCTGGTGTTGCTGCTGCTGTTGCTGGTGGTTCACCGAATGCAGTTGCGTGTAGTCTATCATGGACGGCGACGACTGCTGCATGTACTGCGATGCGTACTGCTGCGGCGAGTAGCAGCCGCTGGCCGGCGCGGTGTTGTACACGCCTTGCGCCTGGCCGTAGTAGTCGGCGGCGGCCGGGCTTCCGGTCTGCAGCGGGTCGACCACGGGCGAAGTGGCCGCTCTGGCCTGCTGCGCCTGGCTCTGCTGATAGCAGTTCATGAACTGATACGAACTCATGTTCATTGATGCGAATTTACCGTCGGACCGACTTGCGCGACCGAATCAAAAGTGTCTTGTGTGTTTTCCGCAACTGACGTACCGGTTATATAAAAAAAAAAAAAAGAACAACTTATCAAAACCGAACACCGTCAAGTTTCGAACATCTTGTCTCGATTGGCATACGAAAATCGCGTCGTCATAATTTTTTTTTTTTAATTTAGTTTTTATTCTCGATCGAGACGAACAAATTAAATATATTAATCGACGAACGATGATTATTGCGTACGATAGAAACGAATAATAAAATATAATTATTATTTCTATATTCGGACGGTGCGTGTCCACGTGCTGGTGCGGCGTTAACGTGCGTCTGCGACGGCGAACCGCGTTCGGTGGCGAGTGGAACAGTACAGAGGAACGGCCGCGGAGGACTACCAGTGGTATAGTGCAGTAGTTTTTAGTTACCGCCCGACAACTTCCGACACTACTGGAGAGCACGGCGGCGACGGCCAACGAGTTTGTGTGCGGCGCGCAACGCGTGTGTGTGTGTGCGTGGAAAAAATACGTACCACGGTCGCGCGACCAATGGGAGAGCCGCGTTGGCCGCCGCGGTCCTACTCGGATCTGGCTGTCCCTGGTGTGTGCCTACCGCCGCCGCCGCCACAAAGTGTTCCGCGCGCGCCTCGGACGACGCATGAATGAACCGGTGTGTGTGTGTGTGTGTGCGCGCAATTCGTTCTTGTCTGCGGCGGCAGCATAGAACGAACGGCGGAGATGTCCGCTCGGCACAAACCATTCTACGGCCGTGTCCGTGTTGTTGCCGGCCGTCAACTACTCTAGGCGTTTTGGATAGCGTACTAGCCGTACCGTTTTTTTTTAGATGCACTAAATGTGATTTTCCAACTTGTCTTTTGAAAAATTAAATCATATTGAATCATATATGAATTTATTTCACCCCAAGTCGCGTGGAAGTACATTCAAATTTAAGTTTAATTATAAAAGTTTATAAAATTTTAATAAATAATTCTGTTTAGTTGTTGTTTCTTAGCAAACCGTTATAAACTTACCGGTTTTATTTTCAACATAAACGATTTTCCGATTACTTACATAAGGCGATGGGTTTTTTGTGTGTAGCTTTAGAACCCCCCCCCCCCCAAAAAAAAAAATTATAGAGATTCTCATCTACCCTTAGCAGTTTCGTACAATGATGAGATTTATCTTGTAGGTAATTAATAATAAAATATAAATTTCAAATTTTGCTTATTTTTTTTTTAATAACTCGCTGCTGAATAATCCCAATTGTTATTACAGTGTTTGTACATTAAAACACTAAATACAAATGGTAAATAATAATAATTATAAATCAAATATTGTTGACCTCGATCATAGGTAATTTTCAAATTTTCAAACGTATCGCCGGTTAAACGATTCTTTCTTGACATAAGTTTTTGATTTAAAAAACGATCCAAAGACGGAAAAGTTGTACTACACCTTAGAAAAAAATCAATGGGAAATTGATCTCAAATGATTTGTTCACAAAAACAATCGAATTATTGACAAGTATATGTATCGATTGTTCAGCGTATGTGTCTGTTCACTGATCAGTTAAATAAACTATTGTTAGCCGTTCAGTTTCTTCATTTCCCACCCCCAATATTTAACCATATTTTTAGTTTCTTAAGGGATAATTTATAATATAAGATACCTACGCGGGGATGCTGGCGGGGCACACGTGTACAAGAAGTTTGTGTGTTTGTCGATTGGCGTTTCGTGATGTGTCTTGCACGCATATGTCTTGGCCGGATACACAGTATAATAGTATGTAGATCTGACAGCCTTTGCGAGGAGGTGCCACGATCCAAGAAGATTTCGGCTAACTTGGACCGTGCCCGACCACCCTCGTCTTTGACGGCATATCTTACTAATTATGTGCGAGCGCGTGCCCCGTATAGTAGTTTATAATGATCGTCTTCGGGTCTGGCTCAGCCTTAAGTTTACCTTTGGCTAAACTTTGTCCGGTCTGTGCGCGTTTGACGAACGACCCGTCGTTTGTCATGCACAACCGTAAGACGTTTTGCACACGTGCCCGATCGAATTGACTTGAACAAGTTTGCACAGAACGGTTACATTTTTTTTTGTACCGAGCGCATAATTCAACATAATATGACACACAATTGGCTTCACCTAGCTGTTCAGTATTTTAATAATGTAATAGAACAGCACAAATAAAGTCGCCAAAGCTTAAAAAGAAAAAAAATGTCACTACACCGTTACCAGCTTAACATATTTACAACCAGCGCACACTAATTGCACACTTGTTACTATATTATGGTATAATATTATACAAACTAGTGTGAATAGAGTTACACTGAACAAAATCTGATAAAAACTGCGATCAATTTAACTAAAACTTTATCAATAAAAACAATGTGTTCAATAAACAATTTATTGATTTGTTAGTGAATAATGTCAGTTTTAAGAATGGATTATTAATATAATATTTTGTTGATTTCAGAAAACCACTGTTGATTTACTGTGTTTAATTATAGATGATAAAAAATATGGTATTGACAAATATTAAAAAAATAATAATAAAAATATGTATTAAGGTTGTAAAAATGTTATTTAATTGACAGATTAATTTCGTTAAGACACGATTTGTTTTGTAAAATTGTACAATATCCGTTTACTATTTCAAAAAATAAATTTTTAACTTAAAATATTTTTGTGTACTTCATTAATAACATATTTCTCATTCGATAAAATATATCCTATTGTCATAAATTAAAAATTCACATTACTCTACAATCTTTTAAATAATAAACCGCAATGTGTGTGTGCAGTGTGTGTCTTATATACATTACATGCTATCAATGTGATATACCGTCTCTGAACGGTTCGGCTGATAACAACAGGTGGATTGCAGTAAAAAAAAAAAAAAGAAGTAGGTATATAGGTCGCAAGAAGATTTATAGCGCTTACAGACATTTTAAAAGGTATACTTATTATTCTGTTCTTTTTGCAACCCACCAAAACGATTGAGTATCTCACTTCTACGGTAGCGTTTAGGGTGACGATTCTGGATTTTTTTTATTATTTTTATTACTTTAAGATAACCGGTTAGGTCGCACGTTATACCTACAGCAGCTGGGGATGAGGTCCTTAAAAAAGTGTCATTACTGTAATTTGTCAGCGGCCGTCGACCGTGTGTTGTGCTGCGTTTAATATGATGATTATGATGATGAAAATACTATGCCGGTCGCGTTTAATAATTGAAATGAAATAACGGGCTCGTCTTGGAAACAACATAAAAAACAAAACGGGCCGACCTCATAAATCACTGGGCATGATGTGTGACTTATTAAAATCGTAGTAAAAACGAGGATTTCCGAAAAAGGGGTAAACGACCATTATACAGCCCTTTGACGTCTTGGACGTCAAAGGGCTGTTTAAACTCAAATTCCCATAACGAGTCCGACCCAATAAAGGGTGGCCGATGTATACATATGATATAATAATATTATGTTGTTTGAATGTGTATTACGGATAATTGCTATTTTGTACAAATACAGCTGTTATAATAATTGTCTTAGCTAAAAAAACTTGGCGATAAAATCATTATTATTATCATATGAAATGATAAAAACTAATTTGTAATTGTTCAATGTTAAAAATAATATTAAAGCTAAAAAATATGTAAATATTTATTCTTGTTTGAGAAAAAAACAAATAATTTTACACCAATCGAATTGCAATAGGTTCTTGCTGTAAAAAAGTTTAACTGCAGGTAAACATAATTACTTTTTCATTTCGGAGACGTTAAAAAAGCGCATTTTTTCTCGTTGAAAATTACTGAAATAATAATGAATCGGTAGGTAGCAAGTATATTCGACCTTGTGTGTGTGTATACACCGCGGTTGTTTTCTAAAGGGCTCGTCGCCAGTATGGGGTCATTGCAAACCATTACCACCCCAATGTTGCATTTTATATAATATATATACACACACACAAGTTATTGTCTGTACATGTATATTGAACTGTTTTTGGTCTTTTCAATAATGATTCACACGCAGATAAACTATTCAAACTATTCACAAAATCTAGCAAACAATATTATCTGAAAAGCAAGTCGAGTTAGGACATTATTAATTACTGGACTAAGGTGAAGATATAGAACAAACCATAGATCATAGTTAGCGTTTTGCTAAAAACATAATATAGTACTTTTTTTATTGAATATTTATAGACAAGTAAGTTGACTAAGTTTAATCCAAAGTGCTGCCAAGTCAGCGGTATTATATATGAATATAATTTTTTTTTATTATTGCTTATAACTTTTAACTATTTATTTTTACAATTACTAACTTAAAACATAAGTATCATTAGTGCCCGTAAGCCGGAATCAATAAAAACGAGCTAAAAGTACTATTTAAAAAAACGGTCCAATCTATAGATAAAAAGTTAATTAAGAGTTGATGTCATCTGAATATGTATTTTTAAAAAGAAAAGTTATAATATTATTATTATTATTGCTGTAAGTAACATGGAATGGTTTAATGGTGGAAAAGGGTCGTCCGGGTAATGTATATAACACAATGTAATAATATGGCAAATTATTATTAACGACTTAACGATATAATATGGTTTTGCGCGCGGGACATTATAAAGTTAGCCGCGCCCTAATCAACCGTAACAAATTGTCTAAAACAAAACAAAAAATTAATACCGAGTAAAAAAAAAAATTCTTTTTAAACTATAAAAACGGCCTAGCTTCAGAGTGAGTGGAAAGGCGCTCGTTTCCGGCAAAATGACCAGATGCATGTCACATGCTCTCATACTGCAATATATAAGAAGCACTATGCCCTTGATCTCCGTTTGCCGATAAATTTCTCAACGACCTAATAAAACGGTCGTAAACAACGGGACCCGTTCTTTGGCAGTGTATACACACGCATATGTATATTATATTATATTATGTGCTACACGTTGCTCCAGCCTCTCCCGCCATACCGGATTCCCCCAATGTGTTAACGATAATTATATTAAACACTAAAAAAAACTGTTAATCATTATTTAACTCTCGGTCGACTCTATAATAAACAGCAATATAGACAGAAATCTCAGAAAATCCTGCAAAATAATTAGAAATAGGAAGTGTAGTTTTATAATTTTTTGTTTATCAGGTTTTTTTAAAGTGGGATTTGTAAACGTTATAACTGGTTTTATGTTCTTAATTTCTTTATTATACATTTTCCATGTTCATTAAGAAAAAAAAAGGTTTAAAAATATTTAAAATTGTTTATCCGCTTATCCGCAGAAATCCTTATTCTTGTATTATAATTAATGTAAACGTTTAAGTTTTAGCATTGGAACTAAGTTTTGTGTGAAAAATTGTCTGTATTCCTACCCCCCCCCCTTACCCCCTTGTCTGACATTCCAACTCATTTAAGTTTACAGATTAGTGTACAATTTTTTCGTAAACATTTTGAAGTCATCGGTAATAAAAGCGTTTTAGGCTTGAACATTGAAAACAAAAAATTC